AAGGGGTGGAAAATCTCCTGTGGGTTTTGTTAAGGGTCGCGGAAAAAAAACCAAGTCCCGCTAGAGAGGGTTGGTATATATATATATATTTTGTTTCCTTCTATACAACTTTTCCTTCTTGCCGAGGTGTATTCACCGTTTCGGCCAGTTAATAACCCGAAGTGCCTTGCGAGCGGCTGACCTACCCCAAAAGCACAGCTTTGATATTAGAGATACTGCGCAAGTTTCGCGGAAAACTTTCGATATAGAGTTTCCCACCTTGCTACGCGTAGTTCGGGGAGACTTGAGAATTGGCTACTTGACTCCGCCGAGAAAACTTATCACCCCGTAATGTGCTGCTTGTATCTCAGTGGCAGGTTAGCTACTTTTGTTTTGGACAGGAGACAATTTATTTTTTTTTTTAATACACGCAATATCCCACGCGCGCTACGTACGTTTCGTGCAGCCTCCGTAACGAGTGGCAAAGGTTGGCTCGTTACGTCATTGGTCGTTACGTTTCGCTTTGACGATAACAAAGATAGAGCCAACCCTTCTTTGCCACGTTTTCCGGCGTCTTTCCAGCCTGGTCTTGCATTGCCTTTAAGGCCGAAGAAATCGACGAACGCTGTAGAAGCGAGACGGAGATAGGGAATGTTGCATTCGGTAGTGAGCGAACGAGAGAGAGAGAGAGAGAGAGAGAGAGGGAGCGAAAATTCAAAGAAGAGACGAAAGTGTGTCGGTACGTTACACCATGTAGAAACTCAGCCATTGTGTTCTGAAAGCTGCGAACATTTTCCTTACAGTATTCTATGAAATATTCTATTGCAGAGACAATTTCTCTCTCCCACCTCTCTCTCTCTCTCTCTCTCTCTCTCTCTCTCTCTCTCTCTCTCTCTCTCTCTCTCACACACTGGCTCTATCAGCGTGTCTCCCTCTCACTCGATCTGTATTCTCCTCGCGGCAACTACTGCCAGCCTGAAAGCTACGTAAAGCAACGACAATACGACAGACCCTAGAACTGCTGTGTATGAAGGAGGATATGCGTAAGAAGAAAAAGGACAGAAACATAATTACCATCATTTACGAAACGATAACATTTTTTTATCATCGAATCAGACAAATTATTTTCTACTCTTCAAAGTTCGCCGTTCGTTATCGCGTACCAATTGAATTTTACGGAAAAATTATTTTCCCCGCCCACCCCTTGATTCGCATTTTTACTGTCAAACCGTTATTGAATGAAAAATAAAATTTCTTTTCTTTTTCTTAGGTCGAAATAAACCATGAGAATGATATCCACTGTTATAAGGGCACAGAAAGGAATATTCGGCAAGGTCCATCCCACACGAGAGACTTCCAAATCCCATGTTGAAATAAGGCCTGTAATTCTTTCTCTCACGTGTCGCTTGAGCCAACCGACGAGTCCATCGGGACAATATTCATCCCTTACCGAAAGGGAAACTTACCCTCGACCGTTTCCGAATGAATCGAGAGCCGCTATAAGATGATAAAAAGGAGAGGGACGAGCCGGTTAAACTCTACCTTAAATGACGATTTTAACGTAAAGAAAAATTGGTAAGAAAAAAATGCATCACAAGATTAATTTGAAAAAAAAATATTAATAATTTCTCAAAATAATTTCTTTTTCCGCAACGAACAACCCTTACGCATCAGGATCGAACCCCATTGATATTCTACGTATTGTGCGTCACAGTAATTTTGCGCTAATGAGACGTGTTGCCGTAACGAGCAACGTGGTTGTAGACAGAAGAAACATCGACTGAGGCAGCAGGTAGGATATATACAAGGGTAGTTAGGTAAGTACCTACCTAGGTATCGAGGGTTGGTACCTACATACCGAACAAGCTCAACTTCCGCAATGCTTCTACGTATCTATGTATTGCTGTATTGCATAGAGGGTTAAGGTGGATGAGCGATGTGTCGGTGTCTTGTAACTTGATGGATCGGCCAATAGGAGGCCAATATGCGGTATTGCTTCAGCAATGGCAAACTGCTAGCAATGCGTCAAAACCCAACGGTACGGAGAATCTCTACCCGTAGACGGTAAAGAGAGAGAGTGAGAAAAAAGTAGCGTGATAGAGAATGACAGTGGGCGCAGTAAGGGCAATGACGTATAGATCCCACAGTGATCCAGTACACGTACACCCACGTCCCATCGAAAAAAGGACCGTCCCCTGGATTTTGAATTTTGCATATTTCAGAGAAATAAAAAAAAAAGATGCTCCCTTGTTCTTACTATTTTCCATTTTTTCCCATTCGTTTTATCGCATCCCCTTTTGTCCGGCTCTCTGGATTTCGAGGATTCTCCTTCAACCCCAAGCAATATGCGTTCCCCTATACAAGAGTGCGTTCATATACTCCTCTCGAAATTCAGGACTTGTGCTCAGGACGAATCTGATTCCTGTTCGCGAACAAACCCGTACAGCCTGGACGGTCCAATTGCAATGGGGATGAAAGTATATTTTTCTATTAGATAAATCACGTGGGAGTGAATGACGTAAATTAATTGAATTTTTTGTTTGTTCACTCACCGGAAGGTGAACGTCGTCAGAGGCCTGTAGCTCTTGTGGCTGTTAACGTCCTGCATAGGCGTCCCCCAGAAGTCATCTTCGAGTATATTGGTCACTGGACTCTGGGCGATGACGTCCTTGTTCCTGACGACGGCCGGTATGTCGTCGTGGACGAAATCACTTCCAAGGGCATTCAGGTAGCATCCAACAGCGACCAGGGCGACGGCAGCGTAAACGCACCATCCTGGAGGATCGTTGGTCCCGTTTTCACTGCAGGAAGTCCTGGGCGTTCGTTTTTGACAGGAACAAATATTATTCCTGCGTCTCATCTTTCTCTTCAGAATATATATATATATATATATATATATATGAGGGATCACTTTGACAGCTACGACGGCGTTCAGCTGATTATTATTATTATCGTCGACGGAGGCACGAGATCCTCGACGTCGACGTCGCTCAGACGCATCGACGTCCGACCGTTGAGGGATCACTTTGACAGCTATTGACAGGAACAAATATTATTCCTGCGTCTCATCTTTCTCTTCAGAATATATATATATATATATATATATATATGAGGGATCACTTTGACAGCTACGACGGCGTTCAGCTGATTATTATTATTATCGTCGACGGAGGCACGAGATCCTCGACGTCGACGTCGCTCAGACGCATCGACGTCCGACCGTTACCGACACGCTAGCTCGACTTGAACTGTCTGACTGGCTTAAGGCGATTTCCACTGCGGAGGATCTGTATCGCGACGCGTATCCTTTCTCGCATTTCCATGTGAACCCGCACTCCTCCTTAACCTTGAGTTTCACGTGACATTTAGGCTGGTCCATAAGTACCTCGGTAAATCTTCCAAATCGCATCACAGTACACACTTGTTAATCCACATAATTTTTATCAACCCGCGAACCGATTTTTAACCCGTTTCAATTTCTGACCTCATGACCTTATTCCGAGGTGTCTTCTCGTTATCAGAAGGCTATTCGATAAGATTAACTACGTAATTACCAAGTAACGTTCATACTCAACCCCGAGATCGCGAGTTCGCCAACAGGCGAAAGCTCTCGGGTACATTTTATTCCTCTTAGACTCATCGAGCTCTCACGACCTTACAGTTTACTCAAATTGACCTCATTCGTTTTTACCTATACAATACATTTTTCGTGAAATAATAAATCCAAAACGTCGCCCCTGTACACGAAAAATCACTCGACGACCTCAATCACTTGGTCAACTTTTACCATGAGCTTTCCTTCTCCGTGTAATCGATAAACCTAAATATCCACTATCACCCCTGTCGTACGGCGATACACTAGGTTAATTTTTTTTTTTCGTGTGGATTAAAAAAAAATCCACGATAATTAGCCCGTTCAAGAGAATTAAGGTCCAATTATCCGAAACTCGAATCCCATACACACGGCACCGTAACCAGATACCCTGCAATGGATTTGCTAGCCACGGGATGACCTATACAGACTTTGCAACCTAAATTTCATCCCTTTTTTTCGTCTTCTCTTCAATCCCACTTCCCTACCACTTTTCTCCTTTAGTTTTCTTTCTACGCCACTGTACAGTACAGTTAATACAGATGCACGGGCTTACAGTACCATTGCGATATAAGGGATGATTTACAAGTGCATACATATGCGTAACCTACGGCTAGTGTATTTCAGTACATATACGAAATGTATATACGCATATATAAATATATCTATACAGTGCGCCAACGATAAACGAGTAAAGCGTGTATCTCGGGCCAGGCGCAGCCTCGAAATTCCCCTGCGATACTTTTGCAACTTCAATTCCTCCGTCGGCCGACTTCAAAGGAGTTCAGCAGTTCCTGCATTTCCCTCTCTGACGATTCTCCACGTTTCTTTTCGTATCCCTCTTGTGACTTTTATTTACTCTTCGTGTTTGCTCCTTTCGTCGAGAATCGAACTCGCAGCAAAGTCGAACATCTTTTTCACGAAGAAAACGCCCGGGAGTGTTCCGATTTAGTAGAAATTTCGAGGTACAAAAATTCAAAGCGAACTCGAATGTCTAATTAATCTATGTCTAATTTTTTTTTTCGTAAATCTTCCCACGACACGTGCGTTTCTTTTTATTACGCTACCACGTACGTTTCGATTGATATCGCTGTTCGTCTTGTTAATTCACTTGTCTTATCACTCGTAGCACTTGGACGAAAATTCGCAGCGCGATTTGGCGAACCGATTGAAAAGTCGTCGCGACGACGGTTTACGCGAGACTAAAGGACGACGGCATCCGCCCGGTTATATACTGGGCGCACTCTGACCCGCACAGTTGCGCAAGCGCCTTTCACAGCCAGCTTTCCTCTTGAGCTTTTCCATTCCCGCGTCCCCTGCAGCTTACACTGTTCCAGCCAATGTTCCCTCTTATATTGGCATTCCAATGTTTACACCTGCTTCCACGGCTAATCCTCGGCGCAGCTTATTAATTATGACGAGTCTGAAAATTCACATTTGTTTTTTGTCAAAAAACAGAGTAATCAAACAAAACTTTACTGCGTGTTATTACGGCAGCCGCTCGTAATATGTCTGACGACTAAGTCGATGCTCTACTTACACAGATTTTTAACGAGTTCGGCTACACCCGGTTGCGCATTCATAAGTGGAGTTGTCGCTCGGAATTGTTTTCGCGATTACAGGGAAAAGGCGTAGACTCCCTTTCTTGGATTTATCCTGAATCCCGGATGCTGGGAAACGATCTCGTTGACGAGGCTGCGTCAGCAACGACCACGTAAGGATCCTGTTAGTTCCGGCCGATTCTCAGGGACTTTCCGGGATCCTCCAAGTCTACTTCCTGGAAGACACATGAGCTTGTACGCTCCAAGACGAATGTGTTCCTGCCACGGATGTACTTCGGGGTCTCCTTCTTCGAGGAACACGTCAAATTACCAAGATTCTCGAGATGCCGGACGATTGCGTAATTGAGGGGTGGGCCACAGCTTCCTTTTGACTTTCATTTGTCACGTGACCAAAGTTCCATCGTGGATAATCTGTATGTCGATTTTTCAGTTTTCTCAGTTTTCAGGGTTGGCTTCCCTGCCTGCACGTTCATTCCAGCCAAGTGTCATTGCCAGCCGAGAGATCTGAGAGGATCGTCGATCCGTGAAGGATGTACCAGGAACCTGAAAACAAAAAATTTAATAAATCAAACATTAGCCTGGTAGAATAATTTGTAACGTGACCCTCGCACTTTTCCAAAATATTATAATTTTCAAGCGATCAAAATATTATATAAAAACTTTTGATTCTCTCGGTGTCGTCAGACACGAATCATCCAACTCGCACTAAATGTGGATTTAAAGTTTAAGTAAATCTACAATCTGACAGCTGCGATGCATCAGGGTCCATCAAGATGAAACATCTCGAAAGTAAATCCAGATCAACGTGCAGAATATCCTGAGACACGTATGAGAATTTTAAGCTTCGAAACCAGCCGTCTGCGTTCGATTAGGCTCAAGAAGCCAGAGGAAAAAAAAAAAGAAAAAACGTGAAAATAAAATAAAAAAGCGTTCACACCGGAGAGATCAAAAATACGATTTACACGTACGACAACAAAGGGTAAAGAAATATGAGAATAAGTATCGAACGTCAAAGACTTAAGAGCATTGCCAAATAAATTGGCTGACAAAACAAATCAGTTTCTCGAACTGAACAAACAATGATAACGAGAGAAAACGCTCGAGTTTCTCGAGGCTGATAATAAATTTACACATTTCTATTGATTAAACCTCCAAGCTGCCCCGAGCGGCATTCGGCCATTCGACGCAATCTCGGATCGGCGGCTTAGGACCTCAAGTACCACTGATCAGTAGGTACACCGAGAGAGGGTTGGCCCAGCTTCTTGATTGGTCCACTGGGTTAGTAGACAGGGGATTGTTCGTGTTCCTGGAAATAGTGGACCGCGTGACCAATGAAAAGGAGAAAAGGAAATAAAAGACAGCAAACTATAGAAGACTGATAGCGTCAACTGGTAGAGGGCAGCAGCGGTCGTAGGAGCTGGATGGAGTAGATGTAGGTTAACCATGTCGTGCAAGCTGGATTAGCGACACTCTTTCGCGGAATTGCCGCATTACCGGACAACTTCAGGAAACGTTCGATACCTGCCTGGAATCTGGTCCAGCTTAGCGGAGGATAGAGAGTGATCGTGAAATTAGCGTCCCGCGTGGTGGAATCGAAAGAAAAGAAAATAAGTGGACCTTTACTTCGAATCCCTCACGGATCCGATGGCCGATAAGATTAATTACTGTTTAAATGAAATTTTCCGGATGTGGGATGCTGGACGGGAATTTGGCATCTCGTTTTTACAAATCCCGTTCTTTTTTATCTAAAGCGAACTGTGGTTTAACTTTGGGACGACACCGCACGAGATACCAACTTGACGATCATGAATTAGCAACCTTCTTTATACCCGTTTGTAATCATAAGACTCGAATCATCATCCCTCGTCACGAGTCACGTCTTTGACTTATCATCGAATCCCGATCACCGATTGCCTTCTTATCGCAGGTCGCAAGAGCTTATCAATCGACGTGGTCGTTATCGATCGCCAATCAAAATTCTCATAGCCGATATCGGGATGAGAAATGTCTGCGAACCCTGCAGATTTTCAATTCCTATATCCAGCCTCTTGGTCCTGGGATACACGACCTACCCCAGCCTCTTCCGCCCCTCGTCAAGTCCCATTTGCGAATGAATCGTTCTCGATGCCCGGGCACTTTGCCACGGAGTTATACGATTATGAAACTCCGATGACTGACTCGCAGGGATTGCCGAACTTCCTTGATACGGGACCGAGTCGCTTCGGGAAATATCGAATGCTCGGATCAGTTGGGCGACGAGATGGCGAAGGGGGCTGGACCGCGCAGCATCCGACTTCAACAAAATTCAAACGAGACGTACGAAACGGGGGATGAAACAGTCTCTTGGAGGCGGTTCAATTTTTTTTTTTTCAAAAAGCTCCCCACTCGAAACAGTTTGATTTTGCTGTAAAATTCGAAAATTTCTCCTTTCACCCAAAAATCACTAAAACGGACAATCCATTGATCCATTACCCTCTTCCGAAAAATCTACGTCATGACAAATCTCATTTCCCGCGACTTCCGGCCGGTTAAACGCACATGTGCGACGGGCGCGTGCACACCGGAAAAGCCGTCCACGATCCAAATTGGCCGGTTTTCGTCGTATTCCAATTTCATTCGGCGTGTTTACACGTCGCGACGGTTGGTCGCACGTGGATAAAAAAAGTTTTCAGGTACGTCAAACAACAGCGTACAAACTCCCAAACCTCGTCCGTACCAAAGAATTCGCTTTGTTCTTTTCTTCTCTCTCTCTCTCTCTCTCTCTCTCTCTCGCTCTCTCTCTCCGTTCCTTCTCTCTCTGTCCAGTTATTATCTTTTTTTTTAACATCCCCCACCCTGCGCCAAGGGAACACGTTACACCGGCAAATCAACGGATACCTAACGGACGAACTGTCGATGCGGTTAAGGAAAAACTTTTCCAATTTTCTCAACTTCGTATTTATAACTTCAAACTTTTCACGTCATATCCACTCCAGACCGACTTGATGTGCTCTGCCACCCCCCTCGCATCCATCAGACACGACCAGATAACTTCGCATCAACCTCCGACCCCTTGAAGACCCTCGTAAATAGGGGTGCAACGCAGGGGGGGTTGTCGGTGAAAAATTTCAATGTAAACATCATTAGGGTAGGTCAGGTTTCAAGATCCATACACAAATTCTCTTTCTCTTACCAATCAGTCGACAGTGACAGCCTGACTGTGCCACGTGACCCGGGGAGCAGCCCTTGCAATGGCCGAATCCTTCTATCCTTCTTTTGCACCCTTATCTCCAGAATTCATCCTCGTAAAATAACTAGCGCGTCGTTTTATTAAACGCCTGATGGCGCGACGGAAGGGTTAACGGCTGGGAAATAAAGCAGCGTCGACACGTGCTGTCGCGAGCGACGTAAAGAGTCCAAGTGTTGTCGGGCAATAAAAGTGTAGAGGCACGGGGGGAGCGGGGGGGGGCACTTATCAAAAGGGAAAGAGAGGGGAGGGAAAAAAAAAAAAAAAGCAAAAAATCTCCCCGTGATTTTACGGTCCTTAACAATCGGCAAAGTAATTATTTTTTTTTACGAGCCGACTTTTCCAAAAATTAATTTTTCACCATCCGGGGGAAGATGGGCGGACCACTCATCTCCGGGATCCTATCTCAAAATTTCATCCTAGCGCTACATACATGTAACCTGGGACGCCGCCAGTCCTGTAGCTGGCTCCTTTTTATTCGTGACGTCACAGGGACTTCCTTTGTACAGTCAGGACGCAGGATACTAAATGCAGGATATTTAATAAGTGCAGGAAGTACTTTACCGACCCCTTGAACGAGAGGAGGAACAAGGACAAAAGGGTTAAGGAGTCCAGGGGGAGTCTGTGTGTGTGTGAGAGAGAGAGAGAGAGAGAGAGAGAGAGAGAGAGGAGCGGGGTGGGAGGGAGACTGAGAGAGAAGAAAAGTCAGGCCGAAGCAAACGAGTCGCTCCCAATCCCCGCTACTACTTACCGAACTTTTCAAGGATATGAGAAACATTCGGTAATTGCTAAAGTTTACGCCTTAAATTCCACATTTCTCCACGGCCTTTCCCCTCCGCCGCCACTTCCGCTCCCCTCCGCCGCCACTTCCGCCGCCGACAACCCAGCCGAAATTCCAAGCTAAATTTCCCAGATTCTGACGAAGGTTTGATATTATCCCAGAGTGGCATGATAATTTGCAAGCTATTCCTGCAAGCGGGACAGTCCCGCCGGTATTACCCCAAATAAAAAAAAAAAAAAAAAAAAGGCCGATTAAGCATATGCTTCCCCAAAGTAAGATATTCGCGCGAGAAAAAAATAAAAAATGTCTTTCCCTAATTCACATGAAAAATTGCCTACGTCATCATTAACCCGCTTAGCCACGGAGACTCCGAAACGCGTGTAACGACGGTGACAAGGCGTCCGCCAATTAGCACGCTGGACAAAATCACGCACGTTACAAGGAATCAGGTGTGAAAGGCAGGCAGGCAACATTAACCTGCACGAAAGTCCCTAGGGTCACGTGCGAGGACATAGGACCCTAAGTAAATTGACAACTGCGGGATACGAGGGAATAAAAAAAAGTTCAGGCTAAATTCCAATTCTCCGTGCACAAAAATAATCTTCGGAGAAAGGTCCAGCGTCGTCGACGCAGCATCCAAAAATATCGAAGGATCGATCGATCTCGAGATACAGGTACGCCCGAACAGGAGATGCCGACAATCTTGATCGGAATATGGAATCGAATGTCAATGGGGTAGATCTGAATGTCGTAATGGTTAAAACGGCAAAACTTAAACGTACACGTATTGCCACACAATCCCATAAAACACAAACACACATGGCTCCCCATCATCCGATATCAAAATCTTCTTACAACGGCATCTAACCTACTTTGCCTTCCTTATCTGATGCTCCAGTTTGCCAACTTGCTCCCGAGCACCGTCCGGACTTATCTCCGTAATAGATTTACCCACGTGCCGGAGCTCAGTACCAAACCCGAGATGCTGTATTCTCCGACCAGATACTATATCTATATACAGAGACAGAAGCCCTAAGACAACAGCATTTACGCACAAACCCAGCAAATGTAATGAACTACCCAGATAGTCACGAGATACAATCCAGATACGAGGGATTAGATAATTTGAAGAAAAAAAATAGTCCGAGTTCATATTTCAAACAATTAGAACATTATTAGAATAACCTAGAAAATCCTAGAACAACCTAAAAAAAACCTACAAAAACTTAAAACAATATGGAACAACCAAGCATCAGCTAGAATAAGCTGAAACTATAAAAACCTATAGAAACCTATAGAAACCTATAGAAACCTACAAAACCCTATAGAAACCTATAGAAACCTAGAAAAAGCTAGAAAAACCTAGAACAACATAGAACAATATGGAACAACTTAGAATAAGTTAGAATAAGCTGGAACAATCTATAAACACCTAGAACAACAAAGAACAACAAAGAACAATGCGAGAAAGCCTAGAATAAGCTGGAACAGCCAAGAAAAAGCTATAGAACCTATAAAAACCTATAGAAACCTATA